CTCAAAGTTGATATTTTTGAACTGTATAAATGCTGGATCTTTGCCTAACAACCAGTCAATTGATGTGGCTCACTCAGGCGCTATGTTTGCTGGCACAAAATTTCACAATCAGAATAAGAAATAATCAGACTGTACCATTTATATAGGTGTATGTAATCAAAATACATGGCACAGTCTGATTAAATCCTAATTCAATCTGAACTAATTTCAATGTGTAAGTAATCCAATAAATTGGTCAATGGGAAAAAAAACAATTTGTGACGTAAACATGCCAATAGGAATATTCTGATAACAGTTAGGCAAGAGTGATTAGCCACTCAGTGAGTGAATATATCATATTAATTTAGCACATGCGCACTTCGGTCACCTTGCATCATTCAGAATAACTTAATCCTGACAAGTGTTTAGATGCATTCTTATCTGAGTTGACATATAATGGTTGCACTGTAAGAAAAGAATTTCCCTGAATGGTTTAATAAAAAAATTCTGATTCTGATATTTTAGTATGGAAGGCTAAAAAAAAAAAATGTATTGAGCCTTTAACAAAAGCTGCACAAATTCTCCTTGGGATAATCAGACAGCCAGCCAGAATTATGTGTGTAATTAAGACTAAACCTGCTAAGGGACTTTTAGGAAAATCTCAGTGGGTGTTTATTGTGTATTGAGGTGTATTGAGTCTGTGACAATATGTGAATACAAACATGAAAATAATTCAAACTTGTGCATCCAACTCAAGGGTTTAGAGCAACCTTTACCAGACCTTTATACATGGCTAGTCAGGTATTATCAAGTCTTTAAAAGAGTTTAAAAGCTAAACCTTTGATTTTATTTAATTTACAAAGAGCATGTTACTCTTGCACTATAACATATCTAGGATTTATTTCTCATATGTACTGTATCCACATTAAACATTAACAAATTAAACAGTATGTGTCAACTAAACGACTTGATGTGCCCTTTTGGTTCTTTACATTCTGATAAATTGCCTCTATGGAAAATATTTGGCCCACTGGCCCTAAGTGTATGTTGTATGTTGAAAAGAACATGTTTCTAAAAGCCTAAATCAGCAAATAATGTTGGACATATTAAACAAAATAAACATCACCTCAGTACAAGAAACTGAATTGAACTGAAGTGTATTGATGTTGCTTTGGTTTAACAATTTAATAAAGCTTTTTTGTAACTTCCAGATAGTATGGTTACAGTCATACATGGAATAATCTGTCCAATTGTGTGCTATGCATGAGCCACTAAGTGTTGTACCTGCTACTCTTTTAACTTATTTGTAGGGAAGAAAGTCTGTTAAAACAACAGCAATAACAGCAAATATACAACATTTTAGCTACTGCAGCTATCGCTTAGGGTTACATACAAATAATTCATATTTGGAGTCAATAGGGTGTATTTAAAGTCTTTAATCAGAGGGTGGACTGATCAGAGGAAAATAACAGTGGTAGCAAAAGATGCTGGCTTCTGTGAGCAGGAAGGGGTTCAGATCCATATCAGAATTAATTCTGTTGCCAACTCAGGCTGGAACTCAATTATGCAGCACTGCAGCTTTGTCTCCTTTGTGCGCTCTGTCACCCTACAATGACAGGGATTTGCAGGGCTGAAGTGTTATTACTGTGAATGAGGGACTATTCTTAGAAGTGGGATAAAGAGGTTTTGTTTCCATGTCTCTATATTTGCTGCTACTATTATAGAATTAGTGTTCGTTCATTTTTAATAATTTAATCTAAGACAAAGGTAACAAAAAAGAAAAAAAAAAAGAAACAAAGATTAACAAAGAGAAGCCCAAGGTTTGAGAGCCTGCATAGTGATCTAAGAGCTTTCTTTCTGTTATTTCTGTAAGAACAGAAAAATTACGCCTTAATTTGATCCAACATGAGTTGTTGTCTCCACCCTAATCTGAACGGGGTTGCATGTATGGTACCAAACTTTCCAATGATATAAAGAGTCGAGTGGCGGCTGGTGGAGTTTTCTCCTGGGGGGGGCTATGAATTCAAAATAGACATATAACAAAAACCAATCAGGTGTATACTAAGTTATAACACCAGTATATTAATATGAATGCCAAAAACAAAACAAAACAAAAAATAACATAATTTAATGTACAGGTTTATTTTTTGGATATAAATCTTGCCCTTCTGAGGATTTGTAAAGGTAAATCTGTGTTTTGAATATATATATATATATAGGATTATTCATGCTTCTTTGGCTATTCTAAAAAATGCTTTAAATCAGTCCTATCCGGTCTTTATCCGTGTTGGGTCAGATCCTGATGTTTGAAAAAAATGGAATGACACTTTAATAGTCATTAGATTAAATATTTATCTTGCACATCTAAAAAAATATATATTAATTTATTTCAAATATTTTGAATTTGAACTTAAATTTGAATTCTAAAAAAAAAAAAAAAAAAAAATTATTATTATTATTATTTTTTTTTTTATGTCCTAATCAGGGTCATTGGGTGGGTGGGGTGGTGCCCTAGCACCCTCTATTGGCCAGCCTCTACTTTAAGAGCTCTTATCAATAGAGGTCTTCACAGCTGGCCAGAAAGTGATTAACGTTTTTTTCTTTGACACTGATGTTTTTTTTTTTTTTTTTTTTTAAATGTACCTTTAAGGGATAATTCAAAAATAAGTATTTTATTAAAACTGAAGTGTGTAAAAAAGGGATCTGGCCGCATGACCGGGTCATTTTGAAAACTTTCCTTAGAATTTTGTTCCACATTTCAAAACCCACAAAGCTCCCTAGTAAGAAAAGCTTCTAGACAAGGAGTCGTTGCAAGGCACTAAATGTGCAGTGAGAAGTGGATTCTACTGTAAATATATAATGAAGTTCCTTAGGAATCAAATTTTCTTAAAAAAATTTGGACTTACTTGTAGACATAGGACAAACTGAATCTGTACTGCAGTAATCAGTGACCTATGTCTCAATAATGGTGCTTTTTTATAGTAGCAAATAGCACACATGCGTTACTCCCACCAAATTATTTATTATTTAGAGAACTTTGCTCTTACAGCTGAACTGAGGGTTTTTGTTATACTAGACCAGCTTAAATGGAAACCAAATTGTCTTTGTGAATGTTGCATGTCTAATCTAAAATTATTTTGAAAAAAAAAACATCCCAAATCCTCTGGGTAAATTGCAGTTATATATTTATAAAATGAAGCAAAAAAAAAAAAAAAAGAAACTAAAAGAAATATATTTACTTTCAAACACAGATAATCATTCTAAAATTTTTTTTGAAACCTAGTTATGAATCCCAAAATAAAGAAAAATCTTAAATTGACTGAAATTTACTTTCCTCAAGAAGTTAGCTCCTTGATTAAATTTCGGATGACATGTATTGTAAGAGGAAGGTGAAGAGTGTTTGTTTTCATCAACCTCCCCATATCATAGGTTTGCATCAGCTCAGTTCAAAAATAATCCTCAGGTGCCCTATAATACTGCTTTAGGAAGCCCATTAAGTCAATGTTTCTTCAGAACAAGTCTATTTTTATTTGATTTTACGTTTTTACGTAACAGAATCAATGTGCCATAATCCACAAGGTATTAAATGACACAGTAGGAGATTGCTGCTTTTGGTGTGCATGAGTGAAGCCTGGCAACTGGGAAATAAAAAATTTTTCTAACTTAAATAAAAAAGAAAAACAAAACATTAAAACTTTTTTTCTTCTAAAGTTTTACCCTCAGTTTTATTTTAATTTTTGCCTTTTTCATAGCAACAGTACAATACCATGTGCCCTGCTCCGACCAGCTCTTAACTCTCCAGTGTGTGCAGATTTCTGTTGAACTAAGGTCGCTTAGATCGCTGCCTTCTGCCATTAAATGACTAACTGCAAATAACGAGCCTGCAGGACACTAATTACAAAAAATATACCTTGAAAAAAATGCTCTAAATTAAATGATATTCAGATTTTATTACTGTTTTATTTTAAGTTGATTTTGACTTAATAATTTTTTCTGATAGTTTAACAGAAACAGCAGACCTAAAGATCTAACCTTAGAGAAGCTTAGACAAAAATATTTAGAATCGGGAGGAACTTCATTATTTATGCAGAAGTGTCATCAGAAAGAAGCTAGTTCTTTTAGCATGTTAAAATGCATTTGCAAACGGAAATGACTGCATGTGAATATTGACTAATTTTTTTATTTGATCTGAATGTTTAAGTACAACATTTCAACATAACTCACCATCATTATTCCAATTAATAATGACTTTTTTCCGATTTTTCAGAGCTTTTTATTTTATTAATAAATTAATTTACATTAAAAACTATGCACTTTGTCATTTTTCCTGAGTTAATACTTGTTGTACTATAAGCCTTTTTAAATCCTAGCTGTGAATGATACTTTTAAATAATATTTCTAACTTCCAGGTCATGATTATTAGTAGAAAATCACACTAACCAGTTACTCATTCTGCTTGGTTAATTATGTCTCTTTATTTGAATTCTTTGTGCCAGATACAAGCTTTTTGAGGGTGAGACTTCACTACATTGCTAGCACTTGCTATGGCTGCCTGATCTCATAGATGAAGACATGACTCCTGCATGCATTATTAACCCTTAAACTACTGCTTTTGGCCCTGCATTTCCATCCTGCTCTGTCATTGCGATGGGTAATGCAAAACTGTGAGGAAAGCAGCACCATTTTCATTGAGAAAGATTACTTCTGGAATACAAGCTATTCCTTGGAGATGTTTGCAGTTATTTAAGGGTTAACCAGGTATATCAACCAGTTCTTGCTTGTGTTACAATAAATGCATGCATTTTTTTCCAACAGATACAGATTTTTTGGGAAAATACCATTTAATGCACTTTTTTTGAACACCTGTGTTTCTCTTCTTTTAAAAATCCTAAAAATGCATTTTCAGGAAAAGAAGAATGCATCTGTTTGATATATTTTTTTACACACACATTGCAGTTTTTTATCTGACTGTCAGCATTCTCCAAAGGAAATAAACATTTCTTTTCTCCTGTGCCTCACAGTCCTATTGAGGACTGTCAGAACTTCTACAAAGACTTCACCTTGCAGATCGACATGGCGTTCAACGTGTTCTTCTTGCTTTATTTCGGCCTCCGTGTAAGTAAACATTTGACTAGTGACAAGTTTAGATTATCTGGTTTTGTATTCTTGGACTATAGACCAAAAAAGGAAAAAAAAAATGTTACCTTTCTGAAAAGTATGTCCATATACTGTTCTGTATATGAACTTGATGTTTTGAGTGTATGTTATCGTTATTCAATGGACGGACACTCTTCAGTTTCTTTGTCTCTTAATCAATCAATCTGAATTCATATGTAGAGAAAAAAAAGTATAGAGGGTGCTTTTAATGAAAATAACACACAGAATATATCCAAATAAACACCAAAAGTTAAGAATCTGTTAAAATACAAGCCTGGTTAAAAAGATTAGTTTTTATTAGGGTTGTACCCCAAGTTTGCCTTTAATTAAGACACATGAGACCATTGTCTGTGATCTACAGGTTCCAAGAACTTTTGGAGGTATTTGCCTACAGCAAACCTGTCAGTGCAGCAGTTCCTGCTGTTGCTGCTGTTGGACACCTTTGTCTCTTGCTGTATTTACCTTCTGCTTTACTTCCTTTGAAGTGCTTCTATAAAGATTCTGGCAGCTTTTTTTGTGTACCTTTTCTTCTTAATACGGCTTAGATCTACCTTTCTCTGTAAGCCCTAACTTGAAAAGTAATTACCCTATAAAAAGCCATTTTTATGTTATTCCTTTGTAATGGTAATATTTTTTGTGAATAAGCTCAATATATATCTCTCCGTATGTAATGAACCTATTTAAGTTTCCTCTTTTTCATCTCATTGACTTAGACTTAGACAACTTTTATTGTCATTTTGTATACACAGTGTATACAAAATGAAATTTGGTTTTGTACAGCTTTCCACCAACAACAATTCCATCTGTTAATGTGCCGCAGTGATCAAAACTAAACAGTGTGGAGAAAAAAAAACATGGCGCAAAAAAAAAAATAAAATGCATTGAAATGGAAGTTAAGAGCATTAAATATATAGGGTACAATTATGCAGTGTTTTGGTTTGGTGTTGTCAGTGTGATGCAGAGTCTGTGACATGATTTTTTGGTAAAACTATAGTTTAAAACTGGTTCTGTCATATTTTCTGTTTATTTCTGTAGTTTATCGCTGCCAGTGACAAGCTGTGGTTCTGGCTGGAAGTTAACTCGGTGGTGGACTTCTTCACAGTTCCTCCCGTCTTTGTGTCGGTGTACCTCAACAGGAGCTGGCTGGGTGAGGAGCATCTCTTTCTCTTATTTAACAGATTAACTTCTCATTAGAGCAAAAAGAGTCCTACATTAAGGGACCACATTTATTATCTTATGGATTCATTATTGCTAGTCTTTTTTCCATACTGTAGCAGAGTTATACGTACACTACTGTACTTCTAAGAAGATTATGCATTATTTACGTTTTTTGTTATGCTTATTTTGATTTATTGATGCTCCTGTTTTGCATGGACATTGGGCTTTGACCATCTTTTGGATCCCCTTCCTCTCCAGCAGAGATTTCCAGCTCTTAGATTAATTTATGTGTTGTTCGAAAATAACTAATTGCTTGTGGGGGGAATAGAAGAAGAAAAAAATACTTTGTTTGGTGCCTTGGAGCTTAAAATTGAAGTCAATCCATTGAATGAGTGAAGCTCATTACTCAGAGAGGTGTGTGATGAAATACAGGATTACCACATTATTTTTTTAATGACCTCCAGATTTATTTGGTTGGTAACAGAAGATCTCCCTTTAGCTATAAACATCTCCTACTCTAAAGATGGAAATGAGCAGAAAGAGACAGGTGTGCAACCTATGTCATGTTCCTCATAGGTGACTTGAGGCATAAACAAAGTAAAAGCAGGCAAAGTTGTTGGCTAATGCTGTCATCTAGTGGGCATTCTAAAAACTGATTGCCATTAAGAAATTACACATTACTTTCGGAGGCTGTCATTGTTTTGGTGCGATGAGCTGTAAATTCTGGGCACTGACTGGAGCACTTTGAGCCAAATGGAATTAGCTTTTCAAAAATAAAGCATATTACTCATATTTGCTGGATGCACTTCTTGGTATTTAAGGAACAGGA